CCCCCATTGATCAACAGGGTGATTAACTCATAAATTGGGAATAAGTAGGAGACAATCACCGTGGTGACTCTCATGGAGAGAACGTTCCTGACACATAATGGTGCCGGGCGACCGTCTCATTTGAGTATGAATCAGCCAAAACGTAATTTATAACAAACAATAATTATCTTTCTGCCAGAAGCTGCTTATAGGAGCACAATTTTACAGAATTCTGTAAAATTGTCTATAGGTGTGGGATATTGAAGCCCTCGCTAAATGCAGGCTTGCCCGCCGTCCTGAATGGCTTTAATATGACCAGTAGATACCTCACACAGCCCGGTCCCCCTAAACTGTGAGAGAGTAGACCAACATTAACAGAACAATGTCTGGTTTTACAAATGTATGCAGCGTAAATGTGTGTTTCATCATTATTCCACTCACAGGACTTTTTTTTATTTGTCATTGCACAACTATTGCAACCAAACAAGACATTTTTTCAACTCTCCACCTCACGCACCAACACATCGATTTGGGCCTTGGTGAAACTACATTTCTTTGCTCTTTTCTCCATAGTTTCTATTGTTAACCATAAAACAACGCTGATCGGCAGGCTCATTTTAATAGTCATTGACATTCATGAGGTGCTTTGCATCTATCGGTTTTGGCTGAATGTAGGCGTCTAAAAGGTCAGAACCTTGTACGCAAATGTTAAGGTGTGCGGGCGTGCAGATGTGCGGGCATGCAGATGTGCGGATGCATGGTTTTCTGAATCTAGATTTTTTAAATTTAGGTTTGTTTTTTTTTGGCCATGGCCATTTTTGGCTTTGAGTATAGATCTTACGCAATCTTTATAAATGTGACCTCTGGTCATTTTATGTTAACAAGATAAATGCACTGAACTTAGAGTGAAATATTTCTCAGTGATATCATCAGTGCTGCAAGTATACACATAAACATGGGAGCAACAAGTTATCACGCAGCCATTTGTTTTTAAGCCCTCCGTGAAGATTACAGCCTCCAAAATGACTGCGTACTTTTGCGGACAAACGTTTTTGTCTACCCGATTTAGCAATGTACCCAGCTCTCTGACAGTACAGACTTAAATGGGATGGTATTCTGCCTTTCAAGTTGAATCTAGCAAATTGGGTGATTCTTATAGAAAAATGTATTTGAAAAATGATTTGAGTACATTATTGTTAGATATAGATTATTGTTCCATTTCATTAGCTTATTGAGTAACAATGCAAACAACAAACTGGCCATTTTTACCTTTCTTAGCAGTTTGCATTACACATTAATTTAATATATTAATTTAATTACACATTACTACTCATCATCATTGGAACTGCAAACCTTGAACTTAAGTGAGCGAGGAAAAGAACCCAAAGTCTGACCATGGGGGAAGGAAGTTCCTCCTAACATAGTCTGGTTCTTTCTTAAAAAAAAATTCTTTAAGGGATGAAACAGGAACACCAGACAGATTTTGTACCCCCGTGTAGAGAATACGTCTCATGTGCCAGGTCTATATCTAAATACAAACTGATTCTTTGCACACAATTTCAACCACCATTCTTCATAGATTGCCAGTGTGTTGTAACACCATTTCAGATTCACTCTACGGAAACCATATATAGCTTCCCTCACACTTCCTCTGCAATTTAAGAAGAAAACACAAGCTTTTCAAATTCTGACATCAAAGAAGGATTTTTTTTTTTACTAAAGGTAAAGCTGTGAGGTACAAAGTTTCTAATTGGAGGCAAAGGCATCTAATAGGCCCATTTCTAATTATCCATTAGGGGCGGAGTTTCTTTTGTTCAGATGAGTTGTGTAAACTCTGGATTGTTATTCTAAAGCTACATAGATAATCTGCAGCAAAAACTAGTTTGAAAGTATGAATTTGTTATCCAGTAAGTCAGTTCTCGGCATTGAAAATCTCATAGAAAGTTAAATCTCTTTTTTTTTTTTTTTTTCTCAGCTCCAGAGCGAAGTGGAGAAGCCTCTGCTGACTTTTAGGGAGAACTTTAAGAAGGACATGAAGAGGTTTGACCACCACATCGCCGACCTGCGGAAGCAGCTTGTTGGGCGTTACGCAGCTGTGGAGAAGGTAGGACAAACCCCTCAGTGCAGATCCATACATCCCACCAGTCGTCTAGGACCGGGCGGCTGCTTCTCCTTCCTTTTTTTGTTTCTTGATTTAAAAAATAATGATAATAAAAACAATGTGCTGCAGCCTGAAGGCAGACACAGATCCACAGATCTGTCTCACATCATCTTTTATCAGCACAGTTTTGGTCCCGAGAGGCACCCATACGGTTTTTGTCAGATAAAACTCTCAAAAACCGAGACGGTCAGCGCCCCGTCACACACTGAATTATCAGCGTGATGGATGGGAACGGACTGTAACCACACAACTGTCCCTTTTATCGCTTTTTATTGGAATGTCTGTTGCTGCGCAGTCCTTTAAAGAAAGAGTGTGCCGGCCTTCTGTCTCTGACCCGTGTGTCTTATCTGCCGCAGGCCCGTAAAGCCCTGGCCGACAGACAGAAAGAGCTGGAGTTAAAGACTCAGCAGCTGGAGATCAAACTCAGCAACAAAACCGAAGAGGACATCAAAAAGGCCCGCAGGAAATCCACACAAGCAGGTGAGAGGTCAAAGGGTGGGGTTGATTTAGCTCCACAGTGGATGTGGGTGAAGATTCATAGCATCTTATTGGGGAGCCTCTTACAGCTCCTTCCTCTGACATAAAGTGGCAACCATCATTGCTTTGGGCACAGCTTCTGATAGAGAGACAGGCAGTCAATCTAACCTCTTCCATCCATCCACCCGCTTCTCCAAGGACTCATCGGAGTTGATGTTTAATTACACACAGACCCAAATGTGGCCCCAGTTGATGAGCTGATATAGACAATACTGTCCATTTGTCACCCTTCCATAACTTTCCACTGGTCTATTTGATGTAAAAAGATGTAAAATGATCAGATTTGCAATGTAACCATGAGAAAAGCTTGAGGATACCATTTCTTTTTTCTCTTCTCTAGTTAGATTCTAGCTAATAGTGCTAGCTAATGGCCCTTCAATCCTTCAGTGTTTCTTACTAATTGCTATAACAACAAAAGTAAAGTGAACTGTTTTGATGTCTGTAATTTAAGGGAATCGTGTAAAGGAACATTGCTGTCAGTCACAATTTAAAGGGATGGTGCCTGGACTCTAAATCATGGTGCACTGATGCAGACCAATTTGACTTAAAAAAAAAAAGTCTAAATAGTTTTTCCTTTTTTGTTTTTACTGAAGCATTAAATGGTGGAATTAATCACGGCCATTCTGCTCTAGTAAACCGGAGCGATTGCTTGATAGAGTGCTGTGAACCAAGAAGCTGCGTTTGTCTTTTTAACTTGAGTCATGAGGCTTTATCAGTGCTGAGAGCCAGATGGACTCTTTTTTAATTTTTTTAAACTTGTTTATTCATTTTAAAATCGGATTCCAGTCAGGCAAGAGACAGAAACACTTTCTGCTCCACCCGTCTGTTTTCACACCAGACTGAGAGGCGTGGGTGTAAACTGACTCCACTGCCCTCAGTGGGGGGGTACACACACATACTGTACACACACATTCATATCTGACTGCTGCACATATCAGCACAACTAAGGCTTTTTATCTTTTAATGTGTAATATGTGTCTGGAAGGTTTGAAAAACACAGTTCTGTAGTTCTGAGTGAGGTGAGACAGTCGGCTCATCTGAATTAACTCTGATGTTTTAAATCAAATAACCGACATGCAGCCCAGCACATATACACTCGTCCCCTCTATCTTTTGTGCCTAATATCCTAACCCTAAAAGCCCTAACCCTTATTTTAAAGGATGGGAAGTGTTTAGTTTGACTTTACGTTGATAATACTTGACTTTCTCCAGTGTATGATATTTTCCCCTCAAGATTAAAGAGAAAGTCGTTATAACCATATATTTTTTTTACCTTTAATATAGATTAAGCTGCCGGTGGGGAAAAAAAAGGTATTAAAAATAGAAATTCCAGTAAATGTGTGGCTCTCCATATGTGGGTTTGTGCTGTTTTCTGCAGCAGAGTCTAGCACTGTTGAGGGCTTGGAAGAAAAAAAAACTAAACTATTCTGAGCCTTGTACTAGCATATGTGTGTAGTTTTTCACCTGTGTGAGAAGTACCCACCAAAACTCAAATGCTTGGTAATGTTACACCACCGAGGAGTAGGATACGTACACGATGAGCAAATATGCTCATAAAAGACAAAACATCAAAACCGGCTCTACGATAAACCCCCCTTTTTTTCATTGATATTTCCGTTATTTGATTGCAAGACAGTTTCTTATATTCCCAGACAGCAAAAAGTATTGAGAAAGGTTGCAAACAGAGACTTGATTGATAAGCCACTATCTCACATCTCATTCGCTGTGATGCTGCGCATTTCCTGTTTGTCATGATGCAGATCACTCCAATATCTGCAGTTAAGCAGCTTTCACCAGTTTTATTACAGAAGTAGAGCCCTCTTTTCGGTTCAATTCCTTTAATATGAATTCTACATTTTTGCTCTAGATGTTCATGTGATGTGGCATTGTAAAGGACATTTTTCGCAGCCCAGAGAATACTTTTTGGGGGGATTTGGAGCTATAATTTAAACTGAATAACTTAGGTAAGATAGAAGAATTGGTTGTAAACAGAAAATGGTCAGAAGCACATGGTTGTGTTTAAGTGTTTAAATATCTTTATTTAAACACATATTTGACACTTATGAACAATGATTGCCATAAATTGCTAATATTCACACACTGGATTGTTTACGGTGTCTTTTGACTGAAAACTGGCTAAAACTACAAAGAAAATCACAGTATTTTGTTACATTATCAAGCCAACTGCTTAAATTCTACTTCTGTTTTTTGTCCATGTTGTTTGTTTCTTTTAAAGAAATCCACGTTTTGTTTTCATAGACTTTGTTCAATTCTATTTCTATTGGGAACAAATGGTTACAAACATCACCTGAGGGACACAGTCCAAATCAAACCAATTAGAATCGAGTGTGTTTTACAGTCATAATCCTAACAAATCCAGTTTCAGTAAATTCCAAAT